TGCCCCGGCTGGTGCAGGGGCGCGGATGGGACCCCGGGGAAGGTTTTGTGCTGCGGCGCGGCTTTGCCAGGAGGCAGGAACCGGGAGGCGGCTGCACGTGCTGCTTCCTCGAGCATCCTCGGGCATAGGCATGGCAACACCCTGCTGCCCCTCTACTGGCACCAACATTTTTCCTGGCCCCGTATCTTTTCTGGTTTGTGATTTAACCAGCTCCCCCTGCCCTGACCCGAGCCACCATCTCCCCATAGCAGCACCGGCACGTCCTTGCCGTTGGAAACCTCCGGGAGGCGGCTGCACGTGCTGCTTCCTCGAGCATCCTCGGGCATAGGCATGGCAACACCCTGCTGCCCCTCTACTGGCACCAACATTTTTCCTGGCCCCGTATCTTTTCTGGTTTGTGATTTAACCAGCTCCCCCTGCCCTGACCCGAGCCACCATCTCCCCATAGCAGCACCGGCACGTCCTTGCCGTTGGAAACCTCTTCCCCGCGGCTGACCTGTGCTGGCTGCCTTGTTTTCCCTTTCCTCAGCAGTTTGGGTCTCGCAACGCCGAGCGATTGGGGCAGTGAAAATAATGCGTGCCATGGCGACGCCGGAGCCGACAGAGGCAGGGGGTGGGCGCCGGGGGAGGCCGTCGTCCAGAGGGCGGGTGGCTAGCAGTGAGCCGGCCGTATTTCTCTTTGCACATGAACGGCAGCCCGCAGCGTCCCAGGGCGGCACGGGTGCCAGAGCTGGCTGAATTAAAAAGTGATTGATTAGACAATTTCACCAAAAAGAAATAACATCCCCCAGCGGCTGTTAAGCACTAGACTACCCAAGCCCTGCTTTGGAAAAAGCCCAGTCAGAGGGTGCTTCCAGGCTGCTGCTTCCCAGCGAGACTTGTCCCCAGTGCACCCCGGGGTGAGGGGATGCTGCAGGAGCAGCTCAGCCCTTCCTTGGTCCGGGGGGGGCATCATGCAGCTCCCACCCGCTCTGGGCTGCTTGCCCCCCCCCGTGCCCCATTCGGCTCCTCTCCCACAACAGCGCCCAGGTTAGCACCCGGCACCAGGAATGGGAGAAAACTGCTGCTCTTCCATCCCAATTAGCATATAAAGATGATATGCAAATGCCACCACCATGGCGGGGACCTGGGTGCTGGGCACCCACATGGGGCACCCAGGACGGCCCTGGCCTTACACGGGGTGCTGACACCCGTCTGTGGGGCCACCTCCCCTGGGAGCACCCCCGTCCCTCACTGCCCTCAGCCTCCCGCAGCAAAGCCCTTCAATAAAACATGAAGCAAATCCATTTGGCCTCTGCTGAGTCACCGGGGACATCACTAATTAATTTTAAAAGTGGGTTGGAGATTTTTGATATTTAATTTTTTCCCCTTTTCTGCTCCCTTTTGTTCTCACGGCCCCAATCCCAGCTCAGACTTGGCCCCTGACCCTGAAGGTGCAGCTGTGGGTGCTGGCTTCCTTGGGCCAGAAAGCCACACTTTGGTGGTGGTGGGGAAGCTCCTCAGGGCACATCGGAGCCTCCTGGGGACCAGCCTGTCACCCCCCGGGGGCGTCCGGGGCACCCAGCTGGTGAGAGCTGTCCCGGGCAAATGGGTGCCGTCGCCTGGGGCAGCCCAGCAAGGCTTCCCGAGCCTTCAACCGGGTTATTTTTTTATGGCCTTTATTTATATACCAGCAGCTCCCTCCCTCACCATGAGGCTTCGGAGGGGCTGCCAAAGCAATTAAGAGACAATTGCGATGATAAATAAGTAACGGGGAATTAAAGCGCCGGCACTGGAGTGTGATGGCAGCCAGGCTGGGGGATGGGGCAGGGATTGGCTGGATTTAACCCAGACAGATGGACGGATGGATTGACGGACAGCTGGACTGACAGACAGCCATTGCCAATGGTCTCAACCCCGGGTCACTTGTGGTCAGGCCCTTCCTGACCTCCCCGGGGCAGGGCTGGGTGTGCCGGAGCAGCCCCTGCCGTCGTCCCCTCAGTGTTACCTGCCCCGGGTGCTCGGTGGCTGCCAGCAACCCCAACAGCTGCTTTTTAACAGGAAAAAAAAAAAAAGGCGCTTTAGAGCAGCTTCTTGGGGAACGTCCATCCAGGCAGGTGATGCCAGGAAGAGTGGCTGACTGCCCCGGGATGGGGCTGGTACCACCCGGCAAAGCCGTGGCGGCTGCCCTGGGCCCCAGCAGCCTTGGCTCCCGCTTCCCAAAAACCCTCTCCCCTGCCCGGTGCTGCCTGTGACTCACAGCTGCCCCTGCCCGCGCCCCCGCCAGCCCAGCAGGGAGAGGGCTGCGTTAGACATGTACACCAAGAGAAGAATTAAAGCCAGCTCATCTATCGCACCTGATTTATGGCTCCATCAGCCCTGGGAAGGTGGGAGGAGATGTTTTTTTTTTTTTTTTTTTGCAATACCAGGCTGCTGTCCCAAAGTTTGGAAATGCTGGTTTACGCTGTTCATAAATTGACAGTAGATCTTACCTATTTAGATATGTATATACACACACATATCTGAGCTTCAAACTTGATCCAACACTGACCGTCCTTTGAGTGGCAGGGAAAAACAGAGAGGGAGGAGACCTGGAGGTAACTGTGGATGTTACGCGTGCCCAGGGACGAGAAAGGAAATATGGTTTAATGAGTTGCCATTTTCCTTTGCCTGGCTGCCGCTGGTGGGACAAGCCTGTGCTGGGGCTCAGCAGCAAAGGGACACAAGCGGGGAGAGGGTGCACAGGACCATGAGCATCCCCGTGACACAGGGGTAAAGCCAAGGGCCGCCTGGGCTCATCGCCGGCGGATGGAAGAAGGGTCCCCAGCCAGTTGAAAATGTCTCTTTAATGACCTGGACATGGCATTTTGAGTCCCTTGAATGAAACCAAAACTTGACGGCAACACGGCAGCAATGAGGTTGGCGTCCTCGAGTCCCCGGCCAGCCCGGCCTGCGGGGGGGGGCCAAGCCCGCACACCCCGC